CAACTCCTATTTACCCAATTTTTTTTATAAGGGTATAGATCCACATTCCTCCAAGTTCCATAGCATAGATTTGCAAAACTTCTATGCATCCAATCCTAACGTTTTAGTAACGCTAATCTATAGGCTACCGCCTCAATGGAGAAACACCATCCATGAAAAGTCAATTTAATACATAAAAACTGACCTTCCTAAAAAATGCACCTTGTTTCCGATATGGAAGACATCCTAATCAACTATTTCCTGATAGAAAACTTTAGTGTATGAGTGTTACGATTTACAAAATCGTACTACCGCCACCAAACCGCGCGCAATCCATTACAAAGGAGAGTATTTCTCTCCGATGTATCTTTTAATGAAGCCAAGGTATTATTGTACAACCCTCGCTGCCATTTCAAACCAACAGGTAAGAGGTTTACACTATATAATATACAAAACCTCAAACGTTGTCATACTAACCTCCTTGTGCCAACAAGATGAGAAGTGAAGTAAACAATTCCAATTTTCCATAAAAACCTAGGATATATATCCCAAGTATCTCCTCCATGATTAAATGTACATTCTCGATCAAATCCTCCATCTAGAGATGTGAAGCACAGCTGCTGCTCCAATATCTTCAGAAAGTTCCTTCGTCAGAGCATTTTTTTTTTTTTTATCTACCATCATAGATAACCACATGCTATAACTCCGTTATCAGTGCAATGTAGAACTGATATGAAGTTCTAAAGTGAACATTATGAGAATTAATGTCCATCAGCAAACTTGCTCAATCCACCACTCTTAATCCATATGGAATTAAAATTCCAATAAATGTCGATATTTTCTACCAACCATCCACTCTTGATTAGTCCTACTCCCATTTTGATTTAGGAAGTGGCAAAAATCTCCAATGATATCCGGTTATCCATCGTCCACCTTTCTAGCAGGTGTTACTCTTATAGACACTTATATACATGTCTCTTCCTAAACTTGTTTACTAGAACTGACATTTGATGTCCTGATGTTCCTTATAATCGTCTGAGTGCATCGAGAAAAATTTACAGATTTGACATCTCAGTCACTCCGACATCAATCACAGAATCAACGAATCCTCCTCCAGTACCTTAAACTCTTTCTGAGTAAGGTAACACTGCCTTCAGGGTCAGCTCCAATATTTGAAGTTGACCTCCTTAATTTCCTTGGTAATAACAAGTGTTATTATTACACAAGCTAAAAAAAACTTCAACTGGTAACTCAAGAACTAACCGAAAGATTTAAATATCATATCAGTTGTTGAGAGCGTCCACTTCTATATTCTCGTCCACCAGACAGAACTTAATTCAAAGTGTGAATCACCACTTATATCCATTTAAGTTGTGTCGTGATCCTTTCTATTTGTATGAACTGATACCTTACCAGTTCTAAATAGACAAAATTAAGCTGATTTAATTGACTAGTCAACCATATTCCAACCAGAATCCTGACCCTTATGAAAAGTCAGCAATCCCTCAACTAAATTCGTGAAACTGCTCTATCATTTTCACCTCAGTATAGAAAATGGCTACAAAGATCTAGTGATCTCTGATGGTCCAGCTCAATTATCTAATAAATATTAGAAATGGTGTCAAAATCTCCCTTCTTCTGCCTATCCTCTAAACATCTGCTTCATACCGTGAAGCATTTTGTTTCCACTAGGATGAATAAAGAATTAAGAGTTGTGAACCTCAGTCCTTACATCCTCCTTCCCATTTGTCTACCAAAAGTACCATTAGTCTAGTACCACCAGCTTTGGTCTGCACCCATTGTTTAAATTGGAACATCGTCAAAAACTAACTCTACAACTGAATCCATGCACCGCTGATCCATGATAAACTTACCGATAATGAAAATTAACCGGTAATTCTATTCACCAAAAGTCAACTAGCTATGACTTTTCCACACACACCGCGCACCTCTTCTTTATATGGGTGTTTGGTCTCCCGGTCCTATCTTTGACATACCCTGTTTCTTTAACACAAGTAAGTGTCTAGCAGACTTCTTATTTAACTTCAAATGAATATGAAACTTTTCCATCCTCCAGACAAGTCATCAATTTCCTAGCAACAACTAATTGTTGTGAAATATGACTTTTAAAAAAAAAAATTCCATATTTTATAGTGTAGCGACTTTGATTCCTCTTCCAATTGTAACACCGGCAACCCCTCCAAATGACACACTCATGAATAGTGTCCTGGTTAAGAATAGACTGACGAAGATTTAGTCAGTCTATTATCCTCTCTTGTCATCAACCCAATAAGTACCTAAACCAACACGAAATCCTCCTTTCATCTTGGTGACCCCTTCTAAAATTTCCAAGAAGATGTTCTGTACCTCCGACACCTATAATAAACCATCGTAGTGTTACAGTGGTCTTTATTTACCACAACCTCACGAATACCAAAGTATCAACAACCACCATTATCTAGGCGTTGTATAAAGATATGAATCCAGACCTAGCGTAAAGTACGTTAAACTAATCGTACTAGATTATTTTACTCTTATTGATGGTTTAACTATCCCATCACAAATAACATACCATAATGACGAATGTCCAGGTCAAATAGATTGGCTAGAATTATGTATTTGTACCACATCCTATGACCACATACTCACAATCCTAGCATAAATAGCGCTATTACTCCATGTTATTAAAAATGGTAGTTAGCTGATCACATAATTGTGTCCCCAACTAAACCATATTCTCAATCCTGAATAATTGACGAAAAATAAACACGTATGACATACATAAAGAATAAAAATACAATCCTACTCACGACAGTATTCTTTCTAGAAAAGAAAGTCTCCTTTGATCTTAACTTGCAAAAATTATTTCACAAAAGTTCCTTTTATAGTTTCATAGGTACCCATCCAACCTCAAAACACATCCTCTTTAAACATAGCTTAAAAACAATATATGTTTGCCTAAGCAAAAACCAAGGGCTTAATCCCTCATCCTCCTTATACACGGAATACAAACCGTCTGACATGGTTTTAATAAGCAACTTAGAATGTCATAACCTAATCCCCATACTCTCTGGAACGTGATATAAAATCAAGTATTTCGTTCTGCGAAGAACTCTATCCGATCCCTAAACTCCTGAAGAGTACCTCTTACATATCTCTCTTAGAGATGTTACGTAAATTTAACTATATGTAGATTGGTCCACACCAACTATACTTGTATCATTCATTACACTACGAGCGAATAAAATTCATCCTCGCGCAATCATTCATCTTCAAGATTTAGTATCCTTTTTATTGGATATGCTGAAATCTCCTCCATTAGGATCCTTTTCGGACAATACCCCTCAATTATCTCCTTTTTGAGATCAATTGAAGTCGTGTTGGCCCTGATATGCGGTGACCTAACACATACACCTTAATTCTTCCTTGGCTTAGACTTTCTAAGTAATGCCAATCCCCAGAACTAAACCTTCAATCCCCAATCCTGCCTTCTGGCAAAGAAATTGAGAACGTACTCTTTTATTCCTTTGGGTCTTTATCGCTTTCACCTTGGACCCAATCCTCCTCTTAGTGTCAACAATTCTGTATCTACAGAATTTAATTGACATCAGCTCTTCCTAACAAACCATAAACAGAATACAACGAATCCTAATATGGCTCTAAGTTTTAAGAAACGTAACGTGGAAGTCCTATAATGAAAGACACTCTTAAGGACACTCGAACCTGGAGTGCTCTGATACCAACTGTAAAACCCTCGGATCTTTATATACGGGTTGGCCAGGTTCACGCCTGAATACCCGAGGATATAAAAAACAATATGGCAATAATCTAACACAGAATACAAAATAGATAACAAGAATAAATAAAATTGCTGAAAGAAAACTAAAACGATAATCCATTAATGAAATCCTCAGAATAAATTTTTATAAATAAGAAAATATTCTGATACATCCAATCCTCCATTACTAATACAACTCGGGAATCCATACTATGTGGACCCCTAGAAAATCCCAACTGAATAAATGACTACATTAGAACGCTGAAACATAAAGAAACTCCTAAATAACATAATCCGGAAGAATGAAGTAGGCGATCCCTGCTCAGCACGAACAATCCCTACTCCTGACGAATACCTGAAAAATGAAGGTGAGTCAGGCCCACATGCAAATGCTACTCTACTACAGTCCAAGTAGAGACCCGATACATAAATACATCCTAAATAACTCAACAATAACTATTTAGTCCATAAATATATATATATAACTATACTAAGGGACATTCACTGGACTATAAAGAGGGTCTCAACTTGAATAGAAGGTAACATGTAAATCGCACATCACGGTGCCCATGTATACTTAGATCTAACAGGGTATACCTTAACCTATCATAGTCAGCTACGCATCCAATTGCTTATACGCGCCCTAACCATCGACTCTGAGACTCAAGCTCATATCGCGGTACCATAAATATATATATAAATCCTTCATAATACAGAATATAAAACAAACATGGGTTAAGTGCAAAAACCCCCCCCCCCCCTCTACTATCCAAATAGTGCATATCAGTCCCTGTGTGGTAAAAAAACCCCCTTATACTATCAATTTGGTGCGAGTGGGCCCCTGGTCATGTAAAATGACGATAATACCCTCTCTAATAGAAATGAAATATTATTAAAAAAAATTAGACAATGTAAAATTACCATTTTAGGTCCTTTACCATTTTACGTCGTCTCTCTCGGTAAACTTCAGTTCATTCAAGCATATTTTCTCTGTTTGGCTGCTTAGAAAACAGAGGAAATAATAGAAGGAAAAAGAAAGTTTAATTCTATGGTGCATGTTTGTTTTGGTCTGCTGAGTAACAGAGTTTCTTTTAATTTAGTACTGCTCTGATATTCCTATTTCTTCTCTCTCTCTATCGATTGTGAATTCTAATTTTGGAGGAAATTTGTTAACTCTCTGTTTGTTTGTCAATGCAGAGATGAATCTGAAGAACAATGCGTCGACAGTAGGGAATTCTAGGCAATGCTAGATGGTTTAGATGACGAAGATTATCTAGAAGAAAAAATTACCGAGAAGAAAAGGTGGTTGAGTTCTGGTCAAGTGAAGGCATTGGAGAAGATTTTTGAGGTAGATAACAAGCTTGAGCCAGATAGGAAAGCAAAATTAGCAGCTGAACTCGGTCTCCAACCGCGACAGGTTGCTATTTGGTTCCAAAACCGACGTGCTCGTTGGAAGACAAAGCTATTAGAGAAAGATTACAGTTTCCTCAAGTTCGCATAGAGTAGTCCACACTTGAAGATATAAAGCTGCAATTTACATGGCTTTTTGGTTACAAATAGGTAGAGAATTTCATGGTTTGATATGAGAGTGTTTAGAAGAGATCAGTTCAGAAAAAGAACTGAAACTTTCTGAGTGTTTTTATTAATCCTTTTAAATTTTAGTTCACAGATAAGATTAATGGGAATAATAACTTCTTCCTTTGGCAACGGAGAATAAAGGATCTCCTCGTACAAAGAGGATTACACAAGGCGTTGCAAGGAAAAGAGAAAATGCCTGAACAGATGAGCGAATAAGATTGGAAGGAAATGGACGAAAAAGCTGCAAGTGCCATTCGACTCAATCTCTCAGACGAGGTCATATACAATGTGATTGACAAGAGATGTTTGGAAGAAACTCGAAAGCTTATACATGGTGAAATCTTTGACGAACAAGTTATATTTCATGAAACAACTCTGCCGGCTTCAGATGGAAGAGGGTCTGGATACCCCATGAGCAAGTGCCTATTATAGTGAGCTTTCAGCTAATAAGTAGGAACTCAGCGAGGAACGCCGGTAAGATCAGAGCACCGCCGTCCTTGCCCGTCGTTCCGTCCTACATCATTGCCGATTAGAATCCTTGCTCGCTGATGTTGCACATTGCCGGAGGGATTTTGGATCAAACCCAGTTTCACTCTCTCTCCCTTTATTTTTGTTTTTATTTTTTTATTTATTTTTGGATAAGTAGAAATGCAACCTGTGATGGCTTGGGTATGGGGGTAGTGGAGCAGTGATGTGGCGGCCGGTAGGCATAATGGGTTTGTGAGTGAGTCAACTCAATAAATTTGGGTTTGTGATGTGGCTTTGATGACACACTGAGTCAACTCAACAAAAGGGTAGAGTCGGAAGATAAAAGGGCAAATTAGGGTTTTTAAATTTATTTTATGTCAGAGGGACTAGTTTTGCACCTTTTTTGAATTATGGGGACTTGCATGCACCTTTTTTGAATTCTGTGGACTTGCATACACATTTTCAAAAAGTAGGGACTAGTTTGGCACAAAGTCTATATATCAGGGGGGTTTTTTGCACTTAACCCAACAAACATCCAATATGTCGTTCAACTGTTTTAGTTGACAAGACAAGAATCCATATAGGATTTAACTATTTTAGTTAATCCATTCCGTATGTATGAATAGGTAGGAATTAACGTTTTGATCTAATCTATCCCTAATATACCACCGTCCCATACCGGTGCATATAATGCATATGATTCATAAATGATGCAACACTTAAAACAGTACATCAAATAAAATCCACATAATCCATATAGTTGATAAAATATAATTAAATAATACTGCAATTAAAACCCAAACTCACATCCATGCAATTGACAGAATATAATTTAATAATTCTTCAATTAAAACCCAGACTCAACATAATAAGATCTAATAAATATAAATGACCCTAATATGCATCCAAACCAAGTCTTAAAACCATGCTACAGCCGTCTGGTTTGGGAATTATTGGCCTAACACTTGCTACATGGGTTAGTTAGAAAGCTTAAGGGACTTAGGCATTGCACGGTCATTCATGAAATAAAAATAAATAAATATGATTCGTTGGAGTTCATAACCTTGCCAATTCAAGTTATTAAGCCCTAGGAGTGTCTTTACACTCAGCACCCTAAAGCCATCTGGTTTGGGAGTTGCTAGCCTAACGCTTGTTACATGGGTTGGTTAGAAAGCTTAAGGGACTTCGGTATTGCACGACCATAATATGTATCATATATAAAATAAATAAAAAAAGCAACAAAAGTTGTGTTCTAAATAAATTCTTACCTTAGAGACCCAATCAAAAGGGAAATTCAATGATTTGAAGCTTTGTGTTTGGAAATTGGAAAAAGAAGGTAAAAGCCACATATTGGGAATCCGGTTCACTTTCACTGAAGCTATAGTTAATTTCTTCTAAAGAGATGACAATTGAAGTATTTATATAGACTATAATGTTGATGCATGAGATTTGAAATATGTTTAGTCATTTTTCTTTATCAAGGCTTCATATATGCTAGGTAGTCTGCTTAATGATCCCGTTTCCAATATTCTGTCTGTTCCAGGTTACATTTGAGCTATGCATATATTTTCTTGCACCATGAATGACGCATGTTGATAGCATTGCAAATGTTGTCATTTTTGTTAAGAGTTTCATTTTTGGTTTTGCTATGGGACTAGCAAAATGTAAGTTTGGGGGTGTGATAAGCGCCGAATATTGCATATTCAAATGCCTTTTTTTGCATTGGTTAAGTCCTTTAGTTGTCTATGCTGAATATATTAGTCTTAATTGCATTCTTTTGTCTATTTTTAGGTTGGCTCCCCAAAGAGAGTTAAAAGTGACGCTTTGATAAGTTTTTAAAAGATCAGAGTACGCTGTTGCCGGGGACTGTAGTTTTGGCCAAGTGAAGTGATCCATGGAACTCATAATGCTCGTTACTCAAAGCTCTAGGAAAAAGTCTTCCGTTGTTAGCCTACGAAAAAGGGGTTCAAAAGCAGCAAATTTAGTTTAGGAGCCCAAGCTCCGTGGGCACCCGCCAAGGAACCGCAGGCGCACGCCAATCAAGGCAGAGAGTTTGCCTTCCGCGGGCACCCGTCCAATCGTCCAGTAACTTTGTTCACTGTGGGTGGCCGCCCAAGAAGCCGCGGGCTCCCGCCATTTCGCAGAAAAGTGGGTATAGGTCTGCATTATTTCCTTCAAGGCTGTCCCTTTGACCCATTTTGTGGTTTTGATTTCTCTTAGGGTTGTAAGGGCTAAAAAATGGAGGGAAATTAAAGATATTTTTGGCTAAATAAGGGTGGAGGAGGCTTGAATAAGATATCTCATATATTTTTGTAACTTTTAGAGAGGGAAATATTGGAAGGTGAGGGTTTGGTGTGTTCTTGAGCTCAAAGTGCGAAAATGGAAGGGCTCTTCACCATTTCTTCATGAACAACTAACCCCCTATCTAGGGAGGTGATGAAGCCCTATATAGGGAGGTGATGAAGCTCTCTAGTAAGCATGTTCTAGCCTTGATTTATTTGGGGAAAATGATGTATACATGTGGTTATTCCATAATCTAGAGGCTACACTTGATGTAATGAACCTTAATTCTTATAAATGATTATGTTGAATCTATTATCTTGTCTTAGATTATATTTTCTCATGATTGTATGGCTTGCATTTTCATAGTGACAATGGAAATGAGATTGTGGAATGGTTTTAATGGCATGTTGTTGGAAAACCTTGATATTCCATAGCTTAGGTCCTTCATTTGATGGTCTATGCTTGATTTCTAGCTCCATGTGCTTTCATCATTTAATTAGGGGCTTGATAATCTCTAGCTTAGTGAGCATGTCTAAGGCTACATCCTAGTTTAGGTAGTTCAAGTATGTGAAACTTTAATAGGTTATTCTTGCCTTTGATTTAATTAACTTCTTGAAAATAATGTAGCAACCATGTGTTGCTACATATCATGACCACTATTTATATTGTTTTCCCATGTAAATCATATTCTAGCATGTTTATAGGGTAGGTGGTGGATTCACTTCCCTAGTCCTCTCTATATTAGTTTTCTCCTTTCAATTCCTTGCAATTATTATTTTATGCAATTTTAATTCCTAATTCTAGTGACAAATCAAACAAAACTTTATCCCCCTTTCATTAGACTAAAAGTGAATTTAAAAACCTTGGTTGCCAAAAACTAGCAATCCAAGTGGTTCGACTTACCCGTCCAATAACCCTATTTTACAATAATTTGTGCTATTGCAAAAGGTTGATTTATAATTGATCATTGCAAGGAAACATCAATTTTTGGCACCGTTGCCGAGGATTGCAAACGGTTTTGTAATCGAGGTTTTAGGATTAACTTTGGTTTGATTGTGAATATTGTGTTCTTGTGAATATTTTCTTGTTGGTTACGATAATTTGTGTTTTAAGTGTTCCCGTGAGATTCTAGGGATTCAAGGCATGCGGAAGGACAGCTAGTAAATTTATAAGTCTAGACGACTTCAGGTAAGTTTTCGAAACTCTAGTTTCAAAGTTGTGAATATCTTGCATGTGTTTAGATTAGAGGATTTAGCTTGTGGAGCCTTTGTCAAGGCTATTATTGTTTTATTGTGTTACAAAACATAGGTCCTTGTCATGGTCACTTAATTTCTGTCTTTTTTATAATTGAGGAGAAATGAAGCATCGTATGTGGAGGTTATAGTGATGAATTGTTGTGTTGATTATGTTGTGTATTGTTGATGTTGGGCTGTAGGTCACTATCCTTGCCTACTCTTGAAGTACTAATTGATATAAATTCACTTGAAAGAACTATTAGAAGAAACCTTAGGGAATCAGAAAATTTAAGAGGAATTGAACTTGAATTTAATACAATGGCCAACAATGAGGGAAATGTTGGGAATGAAGGAATCCATAATGATAGGGCAAAAATTCTAAATGTTCCTATGACTCTTAGGGACCATTTCATCCCTACAACTTATGCCTCTCCTTCTTGCATAGTGATGCCAAACATCGAGGCAGCCCAATATGAGATCAAATCTAGCTCCATTCAAATGCTTCCATCCTTCCATGGCTTTGAAAATGAGGACCCCTATATGCACCTTGATGAATTCCTTGAAATATGTTTTACCATCAAGTTGAGGGGCTTCCCTGACAATGCTCTCAATTTGCATCTCTTCCCATTTGCCTTAAAAGAAAGGGCAAAATATTGGTTGAACTCCCTTGCTGCAAATTCCATCACTACATGGGCTCAATTGCAGCAAGAATTATTAAAGAAATATTATCCAGTGAGTAAAACCAACCTATTGAGGCGTTCCATTCTCAGTTTTTCACAAAGCGATGGGGAACAACTCCATAAGACTTGGGAAAGACTTCAAGACCTCTTAAGGAAATGTCTGCACCATCTAATTCCAAAATGGCAATTAGTGCAAGCTTTCTATGCTGGGTTAATCAACCCATATAGATTCATGGTTGAATCATCTTGTGGAGGGATGTTCATGTCTAAAAGTGCGGATGAGGCATGGACTTTACTTGAGAATTTGAGTGAAAACTCATTGCAGCATAATTCTCGTAGTGCTCCAACCTCAACCAATATAAAGAACACTAACCCTTGTCAACCAAGAACCATGAGGGAAGAATCTTCTCAAGTGGATGCCATAGCGTATAAATTCTATCAATTGATGGCACGACAACTCTCTCCTTCCTTGTCTCAAAATTCAGCTAGTGTGGTGTGTGCATCATGCACTAGTCCTTTCCATCTTTCGGAAGATTGCCCCACGCCGAAG